ACTATACCCATGCAAATTATTAACTGAAACGCCACGGTACAAACGCCGCTTTGCAGACGAAATTCGTGAAACAGATGCTCAACCCTCCTGACAATTTTTTTACATTCCTCCAAGAGACGCTGGTGGAACCATCAATCGCATCCGAGCACCAACAGGCCGATGAGCTCATCTCCTTCATGAATGGGAAATGAAAGACGGGGCCACACTAGTGCGATTTGTGGCCATGCAACCAAAACTGTGGCCCATGTGGTAAACCACTGTAGCCTCCGCTCGTTGAACAGAGGATTATCAAACACGACACATACTCTTGTCTCCTGAAGAAGCCCTCTCGTGGCTCGCTGACCTCAACATTGGCACTTAGACCCTGAACATATTGCCACACGTCAATGTAATAATAATGATAATAGCGACAACTTTAGCGCCATACCTCGGAAAGCCGTGGCAAGCACGCAACCGTAACGCCTGCCATTCCCTCGGGGGGGTGGGGGGGGGTGGAAATAAGTCGGGTCGACACAAATATTACCATTGGGGAAACAATTTTTCGGGGAACCAATATACATTTACGCAGCTTGACCTGAGATGCTGAGTTCAAATCCGAGCGACCGCCTGTGATTAAACCGCGCTCTCGAGTGCCGCGAGTTGATGGTCTCAGCCCGGCCACCAATAGCGGTGAAGAAAAATCATCACGCTAAGATTTGCGCCAAAAGCACGTTTTTGAATCGATAGCGGGCCTGTTGACTCCAGAAGTAGTTCTGCAGCGAGAGTATCTCTGCCACAGCGGTGTGCACCACTGGCTGCACGAGATCCGAATGGAATTTCTTCATCTCTCAAATGATGCCACTTTCACGCTTGAAATTGGGGGGGGGGGGGGGGGGGAGATACGTATGTTTGTACGTTGAACTTCTTTCACGTGGTACGTACAGTGAGGGAAAAAAGTATTTGATCCCCTGCTGATTTTGTATGTTTGCCCACTGACAAAGAAATGATCAGTCTATACTTTTAATGGTAGGTTTATTTGAACAGTGAGAGACAGAATAACAACAAAATCCAGAAAAACGCATGTCAAAAATATTATAAATTGATTTGCATTTTAATGAGGGAAATAAGTATTTGACCCCCTCTCAATCAGAAAGATTTCTGGCTCCCAGGTGTCTTTTATACAGGTAAAGAGGTGAGATTAGGAGCACACTCTTAAAGGGAGTGCTCCTAATCTCAGCTTGTTACCTGTATAAAAGACACCTGCCCACAGAAGCAATCAATCAATCAGATTCCAAACTCTCCACCATGGCCAAGACCAAAGAGCTCTCCAAGGATGTCAGGGACAAGATTGTAGACCTACACAAGGCTGGAATGGGCTACAAGACCATTGCCAAGCAGCTTGGTGAGAAGGTGACAACAGTTGGTGCGATTATTCGCAAATGGAAAGAAACACAAAAGAACTGTCAATCTCCCTCGGCCTGGGGCTCCATGCAAGATCTCACCTCGTGGAGTTGCAATGATCATGAGAACGGTGATGAATCAGCCCAGAACTACACGGGAGGATCTTGTCAATGATCTCAAGGCAGCTGGGACCATAGTCGCCAAGAAAACAATTGGTAACACACTACGCCATGAAGGACTGAAATCCTGCAGCGCCCGCAAGGTCCCCCTGCTCAAGAAAGCACATGTACATGCCCGTCTGAAGTTTGCCAATGAACAACTGAATAATTCAGAGGACAACTGGGTGAAAGTGTTGTGGTCAACTCAACTCGCCGTGTTTGGAGGAGGAGGAATTATTTTCGTCTCCCCCCTCCTCTTTTCGAACATAGATGGACTCGTTCATCTGAACAAACTGTCAAATAGCTCTCCGTGGTGCTAACCTTAAAAATAACCGCCACTTTTTTCAAATTTTCTTGCTGTGGTTTTGTGTGATTAAAGCGCGCTCTCGAGTGCCGCGAGTTGATGGTCTCAGCCCGGCCACCAATAACGGTGAAGAAAAATCATCATGCTAAGATTTGCGCCAAAAGCACGTTTTTGAATCAATAGCGGGCCTGTTGACTCCACAAGTAGTTCTGCGTCGAGAGTATCTCTGCCACAGCGGTGTGCATCGCTGGCTGCACGAGATCCGAATGGAATTTCTTCATCTCTCAAATGATGCCAATTTCACGCTTGAAATTGGGGAGGTGGGGGGGGAGATACGTATGTATGTACGTTGAACTTCTTTTGCGTGGTACGTACAGTGAGGGAAAAAAGTATTTGATCCCCTGCTGATTTTGTACGTTTGCCCACTGACAAAGAAATGATCAGTCTATAATTTTAATGGTAGGTTTATTTGAACAGTGAGAGACAGAATAACAAGACAATCCAGAAAAACGCATGTCAAAAATGTTATAAATTAATTTGCATTTTAATGAGGGAAATAAGTATTTGACCCCCTCTCAATCAGAGAGATTTCTGGCTCCCAGGTATCTTTTATACAGGCAACGAGCTGAGATTAGGAGCACACTCTTAAAGGGAGTGCTCCTAATCTCATCTTGTTACCTGTATAAAAGACACCTGTCCACAGAAGCAATCAATCAGATTCCAAACTCTCCACCATGGCCAAGACCAAAGAGCTCTCCAAGGATGTCAGGGACAAGATTGTAAACCTACACAAGGCTGGAATGGGCTACAAGACCATTGCCAAGCAGCTTGGTGAGAAGGTGACAACAGTTGGTGCAATTATTCGCAAATGGAAGAAACACAAAATAACTGTCAATCTCCCTCGGCCTGGGGCTCCATGCAAGATCTCACCTCGTGGAGTTGCAATGATCATGAGAACGGTGATGAATCAGCCCAGAACTACACGGGAGGATCTTGTCAATGATCTCAAGGCAGCTGGGACCATAGTCACCAAGAAAACAATTGGCAACACACTACGCCGTGAAGGACTGAAATCCTGCAGCGCCCGCAAGGTCCCCCTGCTCAAGAAAGCACATATACATGCCCGTCTTAAGTTTGCCAATGAACATCTGAATGATGCAGAGGACAACTGGGTGAAAGTGTTGTGGTCAGATGAGACCAAAATGGAGCACCTTGGCATAAACTCAACTCGCCGTGTTTGGAGGAGGAGGAATGCTACCTATGACCCCAAGAACACCATCCCCACCGTCAAACATGGAGGTGGAAACATTATGCTTTGGGGGTGTTTTTCTGCTAAGGGGACAGGACAACGTCACTGCATCAAAGGGACGATGGACGGGGCCATGTACCATCAAATCTCGGGTGAGAACCTCCTTCCCTCAGCCAGGGCATTGAAAATGGGTCGTGGATGGGTATTCCAGCATGACAATGACCCAAAACACACGGCCAAGGGAACAAAGGAGTGGCTCAAGAAGAAGCACATTAAGGTCCTGGAGTGGCCTAGCCAGTTTCCAGACCTTAATCCCATAGAAAAACTGTGGAGGGAGCTAAAGGTTCGAGTTGCCAAACGTCAGCCTCGAAACCTTAATGACTTGGAGAAGATCTGCAAAGAGGAGTGGGACAAAATCCCTCCTGAGATGTGTGCCAACCTGGTGGCCAACTACAAGAAACGTCTGACCTCTGTGATTGCCAACAAAGGTTTTGCCACCAAGTACTAAGTCATGTTTTGCAGAGGCGTCAAATACGTATTTCCCTCATTAACATGCCAATCAATTTATAACATTTTTGACATGCGTTTTTCTGGATGTTGTTGTTATTCTGTCTCTCACTGCTCAAATAAACCTACCATTAAAATTATAGACTGATCATTTCTTCATCGGTGGGCAAACGTACAAAATCAGCAGGGGATCAAATACTTTTTGCCCCTCACTGTAGACGTTCATTATGCTTCGTTTGTGTAAACATGCCCTGTGATTTGGTGCGTGCACACGCGGCTCGAGTCGTCCGTTGCGTGTGACGTCGGTGGCACGGAGCGCGACCTCTGGGGTGGGAAAAAAACACAAAACCCGGCGCCTCCTGAGCCACGCCGGGCCGGCGCGGCGCGGCCCCCGGTGAGAAGACAAAAATGTGTAACATGATTCTGTTGTCCACACATGCGCAGAGCAGAGTCTGCGTTTGGGTTTTGAATTGTAACGGTTCCACATTCGTGCTGCCGATGTTCGAAGCAACAGCGTGTTTCATTTAGAGTAATGTCAACAGAGCTTTCATGACACCCCCCCGACGAACGCAACATTGCCTGTGTTCCCACCGAGCAAATTAACTTGCTGAAGCCCTACCAGCAGCAAATCAAAATTGTGAACTCGCGTGGCACTTCATTATCGGTGCGTGGATGTTTTGCTGTTGACGGGCCGGCATTCACCGAAGCCGCAGGGACACCAATGCCAGTTCTGTGAGAGCGAAGGTGTCGAAAAACTCAAACAGGCTACACGAACTTTTACGATTTCTCGGCAGGCAAACGGTTACAAAACTGCAAGAGCATGGTCATGCTTTATTAAAGTTGGCGTGGTCAGGTCGCTGCCAAAGCCCACGAATGTTTACTTTAATTGAGAGCTGCAACTTGCTCCTTCCTGTATCCCCTTTGCGCTCTGCTGTCCTCCACGTGCACGCTCAAGTGGCCTCTTGAGGAAACAAAGGGGGGGTCGGTGATGGCGGTGGTCATGGGTTTTCGAGGCGCAACCCAACGGCGGCTTCAGCTCGGGATTTATGCGACGCTCACGCGCGCACGCATGCACACACGCGCTCTGTCACTGGGCGAGCGGTTGGCGCGTCAAGAATTTGTGGAAGTTGCCCGGAGGGCGCGCTCATGCCATTAACCCGGAGACTGCGTCGGTCTCTCCGGCTGCAAGGGAAGCTGCAACGCAACGAAGATGGTGGAAAGTTGCTGTGGCCATTTCGACTGCTGCACTCGACCATAAATAAGGGAGAGGCACCTCGACTTGAAAGTGGTTCACTCCCTGGCTTGCCTCTGTGGCATGCTGAGTATCAGGGGGACACGAAGTGGCCACTTCCTGGTAGTGCAGCAAGTAGGATGTCGATGTACCTATATAGATTATTGAGTGTTTTTTTTTTTTTAGATATCTCTGGGTACTTCTGGCTCCTCCCACAGTCAAGACACTCAGTCAGGAATCGGGGCCCGACATCTCGGGAAAGGAGAGGAGCCTCGTCAACAAATTCTGAGACTCACCGAGAGTATTTCCTGCATAAATCATTGACCGCGATTATGAGTTAAGATTTACAAACACACGCGGCACCCACTCCCCCCACCGCACCATGCAAAATGTGGACCCCCGCATATCTCCCGCCCTGCCGATACATTTTTTTCCCCCGGTGTCAGTTAAATTCACGTGGGCTGGGGTAGAGGGGACGAGGAGGCTGCTTGGGAAGATGAGGAGGAGGAAGAGGAGGAGGTGGTGCTTTGCCGATTGGCGGAGCTCGCATGCCCCAGCTCACTCGTCGCAGCCCAGGATTTCGACGCGCAGTGTGATGCGGTTGAACCACGCCGTGGGCAGGATGCGCACGTACCGCGCCCAGAACGGCGACTCGAACATGTTCTTCTTGTGCGTGTTGTTGTCGTAGTTGCCGGCAAAGATCTGCGACGTGAAACAGGCGTGCCAGGTTAAACGTACGCCGCACGAGGTTGTGCGGAATAACTTGATAGCCACAATATCTCATTATCCACGGAAATTAGGCTTTTGTCAAGAGTAGGAGGAGGCAAAGCGTTCCACTCACGGATCGCAATGGGGGCAGAGGTTTGCAGTTTCAGCCCAGCGGCCGCCCTGGTAAAATCTGCGGGCGAATGAACCGTAAATACTACACGGCGTCTGCTCTGCAGCGTGTGCTGGCGTTAGCATCCGAATTTGCCTCGTTGGAAATATCTCGCACACGTTGCGAACAAATCACAGGGCGACATCGCCTCGCACTGCTGCAGGACTGATGCCCATTTGCAGGCCGGCACTGCGTTCACTTAGCGCCGGACCAAGACAGCTGCTGCTACGGTCCCCTTGGTTAAATTGCAGCAGGGCACTGGAATGGTTTGCGATGAGCCGCAACACGCTCCGCGTGTATGCACGTTAAACTTCCTTCGCACCCTACATAGCCACCCGCGCTAATCGGAGGTGCAGGGGAAGGACAACCAACTAAACACACAAAGAGCAGTTCGATCGAGATTTAAAAGTGCATCGATCCAGTGGCTTCCCAATATTGGAAGCAAGAGCGTTCCAGATGGCCACGGAAGCGCATCTGAAAGCGCGCGACGCCGCTGCTGCTGCTGCTGCCGCTGCCGCCGCTGCTGCTGCTGCTGCTACTACTGCTGCTACAGCTGCTGCTGCAGCTACTACTGCTGCTACAGCTGCTGCTGCTGCCGCCGCCGCCGCCGCTGCTGCTACTGCTGCTACAGCTGCTGCTGCTGCCGCCGCCGCTCCTGCTGCTGCTGCTACTGCTGCTGCTACTGCTGCTGCTACTACTACTACTGCTGCTGCTGCGAGGACGACCGGAGCTCGCTTGACGATGGTTCATGCTCCTCGACGCGGCGCTGCTCCGAGTCGAAGCGAGCGCCTCGCACTCGGACACGCCACGCATCGCACATCGCCGCTTCCACCCACCTTGGGGCGCCCGCTCGCCCCGTCCTTGTAGAGCGTCCAGCTCTTGCCGTCGTCGCTGTGCGCCACCTTGTAGGCGCGCACGAACTGCACGGTGCCGAGGTCTCGCGCTCCCTGCGTCACCACGCCCGACACTCGCCGCGGCCGCAGCAGGTCCACCTGGCGTGGCGGGGTGAGCGGATAGCGCCGGTTAGAGGCAGTGTCGTTGAGGCCCCGTGGCCCGCCAACGCCGCGTCGGTGCGCCGGAACCAAACCGCAACGTGGGACTTCTGAATCGGGATTAAATTTTCTATTTAGATTTTAATTTTACCCGGTAAAGCCCGCTGAGCTATATATACCTCTTTTTTTCAGAAGCTACCTGGCCACAAATGACAGCCCAACGAAGTGGCTTATCACACGGATATTTCTATCAGCCAAATACTCCAAACGCACATTGATTCTAAATGTGGAGGGAAAAACCGGAGAAATATACACGCAACCACGGGGAGAACATGCAAACTCCAACTATACAGCAGGCATCAGGGTCGGGATCGAACCCACAACCTCCTGTATACCAAGCAAGGTAGTTAACATCTCGCCACCAGGTTCAAGGCCAAGCAGGGCCAGGGGCCTAATAAAGACATTGGTTGCGAACATGCGGCTTCGCCGTGTCAATTACGAACGCGCTCCTCAACTTGCTCAATGCGTGCGGCGTTGGCGGCATGGCCCCTGTTCCTCCGCAGTGGAAAAAGAAAAGCAAGCCGGGTCCTCCTGAGCTATGCTGTAACTGACTACGCAGCACGACCGTGAAAGCCTTGTGCATTCGTACGACCGGAGGGCCTAGAGAAAACCCCACGCGGACAGGGGGAGAGAGGCGGTACCTGCAGCCACTGCTGCTCGTTGCAGCTGGCGGGGGTCCAGGCGTTGACTCTGCCTGTGGCGTCGAGTCGGGCAAAGTGCGGCTCCCAGCCCCAGAAGTCGAGGCCCAGGGTGTGGAAACACTCCGGACGCCGTCATCTGCTTGTCCTTGATCCTCCCGTCTTTCACACCCAGTGGCTCTGAGCAGCCTGGGGTTGGTGGACGGGTGGATGGGTGGATAGGTGGGTGGGTGGTTGAGTGGGTGGATGGGTGGTTCGGTGGGTGGATGGGTGGTTGGGTGGTTGGATGTGTGGGTGGGTGGTTGGATGGGTGGGTGGTTGGGTGGGTGGGTGTATGGATGGGTGTATGGATGGGTGGGTGGGTGTTTGGGTGGGTGGATGGATGGATAGGTTTGGGTGGACGGACAGATGGACAGGCGGGCACCAAGTGGAGATTTACAAATCAGGATTAAATTATTTAGATATCGTGTTGATTATTAACAATTTTAAGTGGACCAAAGCAAGACACGTAATTAGAAACTGACAACGGATCGGCAGCCATAAGTCAGAAAGTATGTCCACCTGGGAAACGGAACTCGTATGCATGAACTCTGGGGGATAGGTGTCAGCTTGGAGAGGCCTTCATCCAGCCAGGGACAATCATGGCTGATGAGAATTTCCACACGCTTCTCTGTGGCCTTTTCAGCCCTGATTCTAAGCTTGGATTGTTACCCCCCCCCCCCCCCCCCCCCACCAAGGTCTACGATCTAATTTGTGAAACGGCCGAACACTGGGCCCTGCGCTTTACGTGTCGCACAGCGCGCCGCTCCAAAAAAGGGAATGTGAAGCCACGGGAGAGGGGGTGCCGCTCTTACGACGGGACGGGCGATTGCATCTGAGCAATGACACAGGAAAGGACCAAGTATCTTCAAGAGTCAAAAGTTTGCAATGCGCTGCATCGCCGGATCAAGCAGTCAAAGCTGCCTTTTGGCCATTTAATCACCGCGGATAGAGATAATCTGTCTTCCGCGCCGCGGAAGTTTAAAATAATGCGCCCTTTTGTGCGGATCTGGCCATGAAAGGGAAATGACACCCCTTTGTTTTGCTCATTTTACTGCGACCTGCTTCGGAGCTTCAACTATGCAAGCAAAGTTGTAAGCAAAGCGATTGACTGTTACACCGGTCCGTGAAGACACAGGAGGGGTAGCTGGAGATTGCAACGACGTCAATCCTCCCTGTGAGGCGGCTGGCGGCAGCTGTACGCGCCGATAAGACGCTCGCCGGATCGGCGAGATGAGCCGACATTGGCAATCTCCCCCTCCCCCGCGCCCCCCCCTCTCCCCTCCCCCTGTCCACCCCTTCAGCCACCTCTACACTGGTGCCCCACATCTCCCGCGAGTGCCACTGTAAAAAACCTCGCTGCTCTTGCTCGCGCGCTCTACGCTCCAGCGACTCATCCTGCTCTCTCTAATCGCGTCTGTCCCGTTACGCACGCACGCACGCCCTCCCTTCATCCATCCCCTCCCTTCCATACCTCCCTCCCTCCCTCCCTCTCCTACATCCCTCCCTCGCTCCCCCCCCCCGCTCCCATTTCATGGGTTCTGTCTGCACTGAGGGTGATAGGGAACAAAGACGGTCGGAAAAGCTGGTGGTTTTTTTTCATTTGTTCCGAAATTGGTTCACGTGATAATTGACACGCGACCACAAAGTTTATCCTATGCATGGAAAAGGTGATTTACATCAGAAAAGGAGTAGTTAATGAATGGGAATTCCTGGTCTGACTATCGATGCATAATTGTGATGCTGGAAAGGCATAATAGAGGGCATGGTTGTAAAACCTGTGAAGCTGGAGACGAGGATTGTAACATTTCAACCTTCCCAGTGATGCCATGAATTGCTACGATTCGATGGTGCAACTCAATTCAATAACACATTATTCCTTCGTCCTGTTTTTAGTGTCCCAATTGCTTTCCAGCTCTTTTTTCCGTCTCGTTTGTACGGCGTTTCTTCGTTTCGTTAGCTTCATTTGCCTAAACGTGATGTCGGCAAAGCGATTCGTGTCGATCGTAAGCACGTGCGCGTCTCCAACGATGTAGGCCGAGGCGTCTTGGTCACGTGACACACACGCCTGCCCACCAATCACAGCCACTCGCCCACCCGCCCGCCCGCCCACATCACCGAGGTCTAAAGGCGTCACGGCCGGGCCCCCCAGCCGACCTGCCGCTGTTCATCTCCGCTTCCCCTTCCCCCCCCCCCCCCCCCCCCCAGTCCCCTTCCGTTGTAAACCTGGCGCCCAGTCCCCTCCAGCCCACGGACCCCGGTGCAGTTACACCGCCTGCACACTCGATAGCTCCACCACGGTCGGGGATGTCAATGTTCCAGGTACAGCCTCCGAGACTAATCTCGCGTGAGGATTCTGATACTTTTGAGAAGTTCAGGCGTTGTTTTTTGCTTCACGTGCAGTAGGAAACTGGAGGACCCCGCGCTCGCGTCTGTGGGCCATGCATTCCTCGATAGCCGCGCACTCACCGGTGAGCTCGCACCCCAGCAGCTCCATGCGCAGGGTGCAGCGGTTGTGGCAGATCGTGGGCAGCAGGCGCACGTAGCGGCTCGTGATGGACGGGCTGAGGGCCGTCACGCGCGGCGTCGAGTTGTCCCAGTTTCCGGGAAAAATCTGCGAGGGACGTGACCACGACGAGCGCGGCGGTTTCTCATGATTCGAGCCACGTGGGTGGGGGGGGGGGCGTTGCTGCCGCGAAGTCATTTTTCAAGACACGATGTTAAACTTCACGGCGTTACGATGTTCGTGATATCGGTGTCCCGTAACTTTGTAATTGAATGTCACATTTTGATAGTACTATTATCGCGTAAAAAAAAGTCCTTAAAACTGTACTTCCCTCGACACAACACCTCCCGTAAAGCGTCCTGATCATTGCAATTTTAAGATCAATAATGCTCATAACGGGCATTCTGTCAGAAAATTATGACGTCATATTGAGAAAGGCTGTAAGAACTTGGTGGGGTGGAGAGTGGGGGGGAAACCGAATTGTAAAAATTAATTTATGTGCAGTGACATCGCGGGATGTCACTGTGCAGTGCCGGTCCTAGAGAGGGCCCGGTGAGCACTGCTTGATAGCGCTAAGTGGCACCACGCTTGGCATGCAGTGCCAACCCCTACAGGGACAGGGTGTGGGAGTGCCGACCGTAGGAATGAGGTTACTAACGGCCATGGCACTCTGCTTGACCCAAGAGGACACGTGACCAGTTAAGTGTACGAAGGGGCCCCAAGTGGGGGCAAGGGGTGGTCACGTGGTCGGGAGCCAGATCCTTCCCGAGGATTCTGGAAGGTGGTCATGGCAAGGGCGAGCCGGCCACGCCGCAGAGAATATAATCCGGGTCCCGAGAGGGACCAGGGTGGTTGTTGTTGTTCATCCTGAAGACACCTTCGTCTACGTTCCCCGTTCAACAAGTCTCCAACACGTGGACCTGGACCCGAGCTGTTGGTCCTGGTCCGTAGTAACTCGTTACGTTGTAATTAGTGTAGTTAGCCTGGTGGTCACCACCTCGTTAACTACACCAGTTACGTTGTAATTAGTGTAGTTAGTCTGGTGGTCATGTAGCTAGTTACATTGTAATTAGTGTAGTTAGTCTGGTGGTCACCACCAGAGGTTGTTATTCTGTTGAGGGGTAGTTACCCCGTGTGTTGGCGTTAAATAAATGTGTTGCCTCCAAGTCTACGTCTGCGACTCAGTCGAACTCACTACATATGCACTCCGCTCCCTCACACCGCTCACCCACTGGGCTGGGGGAGGGGCGGTGGGGCAGGCGGGGGGTGCGGTTCACCGACTCACTGACCCTGTTCTTGGTGGAGCGCGCCTCGCGGTATCCGCTCCACATCTTGCCGTCATCGCTGAACGCGAGTGTGAACTTCTTGATGTACTCGGCGCTGCCCATGCGGCGTGCGCCCTGCGTCGTCACGCCGCTCACGCGCATCGCGCGGCCCAGGTCCACCTGCGACGAGGACGAGCAACGATCGCGCGTTCCAATCGGAAGCGACCTGGCCACAAACGATGGCTCGAAGAAGCGGTCGTTCACGTGGAAGTTTGTAGCAGCCAAATACTCTAAACGCACATTGATTCGAAATATGGAGGGAAAGGCCGGAGAAGAATCCACGCGACAACGGAGAGAGAACACGCAAACTGTCAAATATACAGTGGGAGTCAGGGCTCGGGATCAAACCCACAACCTCCTGCATACCGGGAGAGGTAGTTAACATCTCGCCCGGGGTGAACTTACCTGGATCCAGGCCGACCTGTCCTGATCGTCGGGAGTCCACGCGTTCACCAGACCATTGCGGTTGAGGCGCGCATAGAAGGGGAACCACTTCTGCAGACCAAATATGCCACTGTACATGGAGGAGGCGGAGATCTGGTAGCTCTTGATACCGCCCCCTTCCATCCCCAGCGGTGCCCCGCAGCCTGCGAGGGGCGAGCAAGTTCAGAAAGTGGGAAACGTCGACGCGGCACCAGGCTCGATGCGCGGCAACGGTGTCTGTCGCGTTGCCGCGTACGGCCCACGCTGGGCCCACGCTGGGCCCGGGCCCACGCTGGGCCCACGCTGGGCCCACGCTGGGCCCACGCTGGGCCCACGCGCCTCTCATCAGTTGCTTCTCCGCTGGGGTTTGTGTTGCCATTTGCAGCACCAACGTTGTGGAACAACCTTCGTTTTCCTCCCTCAGCCATCGTGTAAATCTTCCTTTAAAAAATAGATATCCTGAAGCGGAAGATTAGTGCTCGATAATGGTCACATTTGCAAATGCGATTTGTAACTTTTTTCGTACACTGTTTATTGATAGTTCAATGTTAAGGTGCCATTGTACTGAGGGACTACTACTGCTGTGTGCTGTTGTCTGGTGTGTCTGGGACTGTTTTGTTGTTGTTGTTTTGCCTGCCTTGCCAAATTTTGATCAATCGGGCTTATATAATGAAGTGTTTATTATTTACTTATATTTAGTGACTTGCTCTCCATTATCTCTATTGTGCATTGCTTGCTGTTGTAACTCGCTGACCCGCCCATACTTCACAGCTCATCGGATTCCTCTAGTCTAAATAAACAATTCTGATTCCGATTAAACTCGGTGCTGGTGCGCGTGTACGTGGGATACTGACGCAGCTGGCAGTTCTTGCCGGTGTAGTCGGCCGGGCAGTCGCACGTGTAGTCCCCTTTGAGGTCTCGGCAGATGCCACCATTCTGACACGGCTTGTCGAGACACTCGTCGATGTCTTGACGGGACATCGAGAGAAACGCGCGTTAGTCTGAACACAGCTCTCCCTCCCCCGGCATTGGTCACGCGTACCGCTCTAATGCTGCTCTTGGCAGTGGCGTAGCATGGTTGGCATGGTACCATCGTGATTGGACTATTGTGGTTGGCATGAACCATCGTAGCTGGCATGGGCCATTGTGCGAGGAATTAAATGAGGCCCCCTTGTCCGATGGCACCGCCAGCCCCCTCTTTGTAGCCTGGCGCCTGGGCCCCTCTGGCCCCGTGTGCCTGAGTGGGAATTTGCGCTGCCTGCACATGTGTGGAGGCTGTGCAAACTGGTCGTATGTATGTATGTATGTTGAACTTCTTTCGCACCGTACGTAGCCAACCGTCCTAATAGGAGCTGCCAATTGTCCGGTTGAGCCAATGGTAAGTCAAACAATTGCTCGCGTTTCTGGAGCGTGAAGTACGTTTTTGGGTGTTCGTGTTGTCTGTTTTGTGCCAGTCCCTGTTAACAGCAGCTTAATTTAAAGTGCAAATCATAAAACACTCGCCAACGTTCTCATTAGTGCTGCGTTAGAACGTAGAGAGATGTCGTGGGTTTATTGAAGGGCTATTGTCTGAAACATTAGCCCACTGCTTTGGCATGTTTGCTGAAGTTTTAATGATGAACAAAATGCGTTTCTTGATGTACTTAAACATCTCTGTCAACCCAGTCTGCCCGATTTTTTCTAAAACAAAGAACTTAACTGGGATTAAGGACTTGAGTTTAAGCTGATGTGACGTGGCATAATTTACTTGGACGTGAGGTGGAAAATAAATCTGAAATCCTGAGCATATAACTTTTTCTCAGCAATCTGGGCTCGCCAATATTCCACTAAAACAAGCAGATAATGAGGAGCACAGACTCCTTGTCATTGATCAAGATATTTCCTGAGATCCATGCCTCGCCCATCTCTTCCAAAGAGGACCCATGTCGATAAAAATGGGGCAAAATTGCCGCTAGCATTGGTTCAAGCGAGCCCGACTCTGCCGGTGAGAGCCTCAATGTTGAAAACGGTCCACAGAGTTGGCTTGTTTTGAACCAGTGCTGCTCATAAAATGCACTCCCAGGGAATGGCTGTGCAGCCGATGGGTTGTGTAAAAATATACATTTACTTATTACAAATATGTAAAAGGAGGCGTTATCATGTCTTGCAAGCTCCAGCAGCAAAAGGGACGCTTTGCTTTGATGTGCCTCAGGCGGGGGAATGGTAACACAGAAATGTGTATCGGGCTATGTGGATCACATCGCTAATGGTTGGAACAAATCAGCCTCAGTGATCCCACCTACTGCCATGTTTTTTAGTCATGGTTCCATTCTGAAGTAAATTATGGTTTTCACTTTTTACCATCTGATCGATATTAATTGTGCTTTGTCTGTCGTTTTGTACAATTGTGCAGCCCAAAGTACAACGCGAGCAAATCACTTTGCACGTGATTTACATACGCGTTAAATCGTAGATCCTGACACGTAGTTTTGATAGATTTATTGTTTGTGAAATAATTTATTACAACCTATGAACGGATGCAGTCTCACACCCCGAGTGTGTAGCCTCACCTACTGATCAAACCCATCCCAAAAAAACCTCTAAAATTCCCAGAAACACCTAGAAACCTACTGACCCCTTGTACCTTAGCGCAGCGCTGGTGTTGGCTTAGCGCAGGTGGTACATACATTGTCCTACCGAGGCCAAACAGGACTTTCAAATACCTTAAGTGGGCCGGCATTTAACACACACACAAATTTAGCGTTATCCATTAAGGAAATAGCGTGCGTCTCGACCGAATGTGAAGGGGCCCTTGCGGTGACATAAGCGACTTGAATACACTCCAATTAGAAACACCGCGTTGTTGCCAGGTCTTCAAAAATAACGCCCCCTGGAACCCAATTGGTGCGGCTAAGGTGCTTTGGCGGTGATACCAAATGATCGCTTGTGTGTGAGGCGTTTGGAAGTGGCCGGCCTCCGGTGGACTGTATTAAGTGAAAGTAGTGGGCCATGTGACACGCGGCCCGTGGGCCATGTGACACGCGGCCCGTGGGCCATGTGACACGCGGCCCATGGGCCATGTGACACGCGGCCCGTGGGTCATGTGACACGCGGCCTGTGAGCCATGTGACACGCGGCCTGTGAGCCGTCGCCGGCTCGGCGAGTGCAGCGCCACCACCCACTGTCTGTGCAGAGTTGGCCCTTGAAGCCCCTCGGGCACTTGCAGTGGAACTCCTCGTCGATGGAGTCTCCGCGCACCCCGAGCGACGCCTCGCACTGCCCGCCGTTGTGGCACGGGCTCGAGCTGCAGGGCCCTGGGAGCGAGGAAAGCGGTCGGTGATGAGAAACCGCGAAAGACAAAGATCCCCCCGTAGAGCCTCAACAGGCTGTTGGGGCAAGTGCCGTTAGCAAGGAACCTGGTGTGGTCAGTACCAAGCCTGGCCGTCTTTGTCTCTCCAGTACAGATATTTACAGACTGCATTAGGTATATCATTAAAGGTTGGCTCGACTTAAGACAGTCCTCAGAAATGGTTGTGATATCACTCGCCGCCACTTATAGTTGGCTGTGGCCTGGAATCGAACAGCACGGTGCCCTGAATTCACTGCGCTAATGCTTCCTAAACACGTGTCACACACGTGTCACACCACAGAGACAAAAATCCCCCGTGTAGCCTTAACAGACGGTTGGAGCAAGTGCTGTTAGCGAGTAGCACCTATGAAGGCCGGCACGGCACACGAGGCCGCCTTTGTCTCCCCAGTTGGCGATGTTTACACACCGCACCAGGTACTCATTTGAGGCCGAGTGGACCTAGTGGAGGCGCAAGGACCGGTTCAGATAATCGTCACCTGGTGTCGGCGGGAATCGAACTCTGGCTGCTGGGGTTCGTGGCGCGGGATCGATATACGAGGCAGTCTGGCAGACTGAGTCCTCAACATGATTCGACGAGTGACGTTAGCAGGCGCACAGTAAGCGGGGAATTCCAAATTCGGGCAGCGCAGAGGGAAGAACCCCGTTGGAACCGTTCGCCCAACATTGACCCGACGTTCCACGTTTGCTGGGAAGCGGGCAGCATGGACGTCGTAGCTACGCGTATGGAACGCGCAGTGCCCACGTTGTGTGCACACGGGATGCTGCGTGTACAGTTTCCCTCCGTTTAATCCAGTCGGCTGTAATCCTTTTTCTCATCACTTAGCCCTCTAAGCTGTCGGAGGATTCAAGGGAGCAGGTTATTTCCCCCCACTGTGTAAGCTTTATAAATAGAGTATTAAACCCGAGACTATGGCTATTTATTTTGCATTCATAAATGTCTTCCGCGAGGTTACGGTGGTAAATCATACGCACAGTGTAATACACACTTTTTGCAAGTCGATAAATATCGGTTGGCATATGGTGATATTGGTCTGTCTTTGGAATGTGGAATTTCCACCGCTGGCCGACAACTGCCAATGGAACGTGAGCAGCGCCCAGATATGCTCGTGCTAAAAGACACGCTTCCATTGTCCATAACAAAGAGGGGTTTTTTTTTTGGGGGGGGGGGGATCGCGTAAATAAAAATGCGTCGTTAAACTCGCCTCCACCCGACGCGGCCACGGAAGCAAAACGTGACGGTTAGTGACGAGTTCGGCACACCGATTGTGTGTCGGAGAGTTAAACCCACCGCACTCAAGTTTCAAGTTTTAAAGTTTTTTCAAGTTTCATTTATTAGGTATAGCCCTGTGAGCCATGCGGCTCTTAAGTCGGGTGCAACTGCAACAAACTAAATATGAACACAGAACATCCCAAAGCGACGACGGCAACAGAAACATCCTTGAATAAACCAGCAAATATTCCACACAAAAAAATTAAAACGCTGTGTGCAAAAATCACAATGTGGTGCAAGCCAACAACAACAACAACCATAAGACAATTTAGATTAACCATATGTTTTCGAATCACCAAAATAAAGCTATAAAAATAATGTAAGAACAGTAATCATAGGAACTGTGATTTTAAATTTAACAATAAACGATATACATAACACGTACGATTTGAGCACGACGTTCAGCTCGCGATGACAACGGCCAGCTTCATCAGGTGACCAGCCAGAATTGTGACGAAGTCTTCCTCTCTCGGTGGATACTTCCATCGTGTCTCCTACTGAACTGTTGCTCGCCTCGAAATGAATGGTTTGCTGGCGGCATTTGCAGTAACAATGAGTTTCACCAAGCCCTGGGCAACAGTAGCAGAAATCCCAGAAGAACCGGTTTCCCCCCACGGGTTGAGGGGAACGAAAGTGACAGATGCAAGTGTGTAATGTGTGTATGTTGAACTTCATTCGCGCCGGACATAGCCAAATGTGCTAATCGCAGGTGCCGGGGGGAAAAACAACAAACTAGACACAACAAGAAGTTCTCAATAAATAAAGTTTCAATATAGATGATTTAAAAGTGCATAGCTCCAGCGGCTTCCTAATATATATACCAGAAGGAAGAGCGTTCCAGACGGCCGCAGAAGCGCATCTGAAAGCGCGCGATAGCGGTGACCGTTTTTGTTCGACGGCCAGCCAAAAGCCACCGCTGCTGCTCACAGGATGGTGACCGCAGTCGTTCGCGTGATGGTTTATTGTGCTCCTTGATGACTCTGCTGCACAGTCCGCGTAGTCAAATCTACACTGACCGATGCAGCATCGTCGTGCTCCAGGTTCCGTGTAGGCAGTGGGGTCTCACCCCAGGTTTTCTTGCCAGCACGTCCTCCCACAGGTGTATTCAACTCTGTCTTCGGCTCTACGCGTTGTCCTCCCACACACGCCGCGTCAACTGCGCGCCCCGTGACCAAATCACCCGGAATGTTGCGCCTGGATAGCCGCCACGCAACCTCGGTTGTTAAAGAGGCTGCTGTGCGGTTACGCGGCAGGCAGCAGAGGGCATTAGAGCAAAAGTCATTGCTGTGCCGTACTTTGAATGCTCACGTCTTTGCCGCCCGCCTTCACCAAACCGCGCTGACGCGCGTGATGAAGTTACGGTCAAGCATCCCTCACACTGCCTGCCAAGGGGAGAGGACCCAACATCCAGTGGCTTTACACGTGCACACATGTCACCTGTAGTTACGACAACCCGATATGGAACTTGCTGTCCAACTGACCTGGAGCCACTCCACATCCGTGGGCCAGTGCTGTCTCACGGGGGCCGATAGAATCCTTCCAGAATCCGGTGATTAAAACCCCTCCTCGAATTCAATAATGCAAGTCACAACCCGCAAGCTTATTACGTGAACATTGTAAATACGAATGTACGATCATCTCCTAGTTAGCCAGACTAATCTCCGAACTATCCAGCAGGCCTAGCAAACAAGAGCGAAGCAAAGCTTAGCATGATCAAGAAACGTGAAATACTATGGAGCGCAACTTTGATCGTGTCGCTTGGTGTCGGCCGCTTGGCGTTTTGGGTCTGTGCTCAGCAGCCCTGATACAAAGAAAAATGTAAACCTGGTAGGAAACATCTTGAAGAGTTATTCTAAAAGTAAAGATCAATTACTCCAACAGATCGGATTCATATCATTCAGGTTCACACAGCGTTGTTGCTATGGGAATCCATATAAGGAACATACACTTTGGCTTGGTGCCAGAGTTAAGTTTCAGAACTGTGAATAATGCCCATGGAAGCGTGAACAATGTGTTCTCACACTGACCGTCATTCCGTTTTTATAAGCGGTAATGTTTTTCACCTCCCCTCTCAGGATGATAAAAACTCGTGAATCCGAACGTCAAACGGAACGCCGAAGTGTCTTTTTGCACGAACCGGCAACAATGACGTGCAACGGACGTCTGTCGGCAGTGCTGAGCCAGTGGTGGAAATTCCGCATTCTCATGCCGGGGGGGGGGGGGGTGAGTCTATCCAGAGCATGGCCAATGTGTTCCCACAAAGCGGTACTCATTGTGATGCCTCTCCATCAGGATGTAGCACACGAAGTCAACTGTCGACAAGGAGTCACACTCGGAGCTCGGAGACGTCTGACTGCAAGTTCGATCCAAGATTTGACCTCACCTGGTATGCAGGAGGTAATGGGATCGATCCCGACCCTGACCCCTGTATATTGGGATTTTTCGTGTTTTCTCTCCCCATGGGTCGCATGGGTATTTCTCCGGGTCCTCTGATTTTCTCTCCATATTTAGACTCAACATGCGTTTTAGGGTATTTGGCTGCTAGAAATGTCCACGTGATAAGCCACTTTGTTGAGCTGTCATCCGTGGCCAAATGATGTGGCCAAATGATAGATTGCCTAGTAAAATAAAAAATAGTTAGTTTTAGGTTGTAACCTGCCATATTCAACAACAAAAAAGGGCTGAGACAAAAAACACGGATGGCACAGATACATTTGAAACTAAATTAAATGAAACACACGTGAAAGGAAATGTTTGGAGTCCGGTATTAAAACGACCGATTGTCACAGCTGAGCGGACTTCAGTCGGCAGAGACCGTTCCAGGTCACCGGGGCTGCAGATGGAAAACCCCATTCTGCCGTCCTAAGCTGAGTGGATTTCACACGCAGCAGCAGCAGTAGGTCCATAGCACTTTACAGATGCGCATCTGTCGCCGTCTGGAATGCTCTCCTTTCCGATATTAGGAAGCCACTGGAGCTATGCACTTTTAAATCTCTGTCGAAAACGTATTTCTTCTCAACTGCTTTTTGTGTTTAGTTTTTGGTCCTTCCCCCGCATCTCCGATCAGCGCGGTTGGCTATGTGCAGTGTCAAAGAAGTTCAACATACATGCAATATCGTTAACGCATCGCACGTTAGTCATTCCGTGTGGCGTTTAACGTTTCTTCGAGGTTTAGTTTCGTCCACATTGATGGCAGCTGTCCCCACCCTGGACCGACAACGCTGAGTGTCACAGCGGCTCCTGTACTGGAGGAGCAGCTCTTGGTGGTTGGAGTGAACTGAAACACTTCCCGACGAACTGGTGCCAGTGCTTCGGGCACGGGGTGCGGCAAGGGGACGTGGCGGCAGGAGTTGCGGGTTGCCCAGAATCCCAGCAACAAACACTCAAAAGAGACCCGCGGGTCATTTTCCCTGCATTGCAGTTCAAAGGTAGCGGTGCGCGTGTGGACACGCGAGGGATGTGCGGTGAGAGCCCGGGCATCGTTAGTGCGGCGCTTGTCGGGGAGAACGACCGGCGGCAGCTTTCGTCCGGAAGAGCGACGTCGCTGCGACGTCGCTGCGACGGAGCGAGCGCGTGAAAGAGTCGGTCAGCTTTGTTCAAGTACCACCCACGGGCGTTGCACGGCCAACTGCTTGAAAGGTTTGGGCGAATTGGGCGCTTGAACACGCGAATAAAAAGAGTTGCACTAACTTCACAGGAAGCGATAATATTCCAATGCCCACATGCCATGCACGGTAAAGCCGGACTTGCAATCCGAAGTGCGTCGGTTCAATCTCATTCCGCAGGTAGCAGCAGCAGCAGCAGCAGGGGAAACATTGGGGCATTTTTTTTTAAGCATTCCCCTCTACGGCAGTCAACCCAGCAGCAGAAAAGGGGAACACCAGAGAGTCCAGCTTCAAAGCTGACTGATCGGCATGGAAGAGAAGGCCAACGCACCCTCCCATAGAGGCTCTCTCGAGCTCCCTCTAGTGCAGGGGTCGGCGACCAAAATAACAAGAAGAGCCATTGTTTTCGAATTCTGTAAAAAAAGCAAAACCTCAACATTTCAAGAGCCGCAATGCACGTGATGAATACGAGGTGGCGGGGTGGTCCTCAATAAACGACGTCACGAAGCAGCCCTTGAACAGCCGCATGCCGCTCCGGGGCCGCAGGATGCCGACCCCCCCCCCCCCCCCCCCGGCTCCAGCGGACGCCCGTCTGTCAGCACCGGCGTGGGCGTTCGCCTTCGCTCGCTCCGTGTGGCGTGCGATGCACCCACATTGGCAAGTCGCTCCGTTGACGAACAAAGCTCCCGAGTCTGTCGGCTCCTTTTGTCTCGCCGCTGTCGTGAGCGGTCGACCGCCCTCACCCCACTCACGTTGCCCCTCCCGGCCGCTGCAGTTGATGAAGGGGCTTCATCTGCGCGGCGCCTTCCATTGTTCACGAGGGGCAGGGGACGGTCCTTTGTGCATTGGCGGAGCCAAAATCCCCACGGCGAGGGGAAGCCCCGCGCGGAGTCACGGCAGGGAATCTCCGCGCTGACGGCAAGATGGGGATGCTCGTGCAGCCGATGCGAGGGATGGCGATCCGTTGCGCGATCCATCGTCAGCATCGGCCGCGATGGGTCCACAGCTGGACGAAGGCCGCCCCAAGCCGTCGACACCTCCCACGGTTCTGCGCTGCAACAATGCAACCCTAACCCTGCACGTGAACTAATTTCATCGTTCCATCTCCTTAAATGCACGTGCTCTGAGGTGTGATCCATCCCTCGACTGCCACTCCATCATTACTAGTGGGGGGGGGGGGGTTAATATACTCACAACTACATTCACGTATCGATACACGTACGTGTATCGATAGCTTTCATGGGCAGCATTGTGTCCTCGAATGTACACCACAGTGAGAAAGAGATGCCGCTCGGTGCACACGAAAGCCAAGAGAGAGCCCCAACACATTTCGCACGCAACGATCTTCGCGGAACACTTCATCAGTGACGTGACCCCCCCCCCCCCCCCCACCCCTCCTCGATAGAATTTCCGGAAAAATGACAAAACCAACAAAATGAAAAGTGAGGATTGGCTCGGTGGCGTTGGCACGTCGTCGTTGTCATCGTCGTGGCATCGTCGTCGTCATAATCATGGCATGGTCGTCGTCATGTCGAGTCGTCGTCGTCGTCATCGTCGCCTTCGTCATCACGGCAGTGTCGTCATGTCGCGTCGTCGTCGTCGTCATCACCTTCGTCATCATGGCAGTGCCGTCATGTCGCATCGTCGTCGTCGCCTTCGTCATCACGGCAGTGCCGTCATGTCACGTCGTCGTCGTCATCGCCATCGTCATCACGGCAGTGCCGTCACGTGGTCGTCGTCATCGCCTTCGTCATCACGGCAGTGCCGTCATGTCGCGTCATCGTCATCGCCTCCGTCATACCTTCCTGGCAGAGATCTCCCTTGAACCCGGGCGCGCACGAGCAGCGGAACGGCTCCTCCAGGGAGTCCCCGCGCCCCATCGCCTGCACCTCGCACTTGCCGCCGTTGTGGCACGGGCTCCGGCTGCAGGGTCCTGACCATCGGCGACACAACCGCGGACGCGAGGAGCCGTTACCGCGCGCCACACACGCGCGCACAAAGACAAAGGCTCCCCCATGTAGCCCCAACAGACTGTTGGGGCAAGTGCCGCTAGCAAGCAAAGCCTACGAAGGCTGGCATGGCACGCGACGGGGTAGGTGTCCAGCACCAGGTCCGGCCGTCTTTGTCTCTCCAGTGGCGATGTTTACACACAGCACCATGTACTCATTTGAGGCAGAGTCCACCTAGGGGAGACCCGTGACCGGTTCAGATAATCGTCACCGGTGTTGGTGGCCGTGAGCGGAAATCGAACCCGGGTGGCCGGGTTCGTAGCGCAGCGTGGCGCTAACCGCTGCGCCACCGCTCCTCCCCACACGCGCGCGGCCGCCAGCTTCCGAGATTATAAAAAGGTAAAAGGCAAAGATGCAGCCCTGCGATTGCTTGCTCAAGGCACTGCTGTCAGAGCCCCTCGAAAGGGCGTTTTGGCCTACTCTTCCACGCTTGGAAGGGCTGGGAGTACCCACACTTTACCCCACCACACGCGGCCTGCCGATCAACGCTGCTGTCCCCTATTTATCAGGATCTTTATTTATGCTGGAGGAATCCGATGAGCTATTAAGCACTTTATCACAGATAGCAAGTAGGCAGGGCGCCGCGGGTGCGCAGAGATGTTAATTATCTCACCTGGTGTACAGGAGGCCGTGGTTTCAATCCCGACCCTGACGCCTGCTGTATATCTGGAGTTTGCGTGTCTCTCTCCCCGTGGTCACGTGGATTTTATCCTCCGGGCCCTCCGGTTCCCCCCCCCCCCTCACATTTAGAAACCTGCGTTTAGAGTATTCGGCCGCTGTCAAATTTTCACACGATGACAAGCCACTTCGTCGAGCTGCACAGTAAGCCCAGTGGGGCCTTACCTGGCCCAAATAACTAAAAATAGTTATCATTTTACAAAAGACAACTCAGCGGGCTCACCTCGTGGCCACCACCCCCCCCCCCCCCGGCTTTTGTTGCTGCACCTCTCGCTTTTTCATGATTCCTTTGAGTGGTCCCTCTGATGGCTGCTATAGTAACGGGGGGCGGGTGGAGGGGGGGCTCCGTCACCCAACTTCCAGTCCTTTGGCTCTCATCTGCTGGACGTTATTTGTGCTGCTAGCGTCGCCCGGCGTCGTAAAGGTTGTCAGCGTCTCAATCGCCGCTTGTGCTGATGCGTCCGTTTTTATCGGGAGGGGTGGGGAGTGGCAGGCATGAATTAAAAATGAGGCTTTACAGATATAAATATAAAAGCCCCCCCGCCCGCCACCCCCGCCCCCCCCCCCCCCCCCCGGCGAGTCAAAGTTGAGTTACCGCGCTCTCTCCAAGTCGGCGTTTCCGCGTGTCAATGTTTTTATGTTCGTTTCAAAACAAAATAAATAAATAAAGTATCAATGTTTTATACGTCGTAAGTTTGTAAAATGTGCGGCTGCCCGCGTATGCCAGCTTCCCCCCCCCCCCCGGCCTTCTCCGTCTCTGCGAAGCGAGCGAATTTGTTTTTGTGAACGTGGTCGAGTTGAACCGGAATGACCTTTTTGGATGACAGGCTCCGACGCGTCGTGCTATTTACGCTCCACTTGCCGGGAGATTCTTCAGCTCCCGAAGCTTCCGCACTTCCCGAACGAAGAAGCCTCCCCCGGCACGTGCAGCGACAACGTCGGGCATCGTGCCCAACGGCACGACCCGAGGGCGCGCGTGCGGTGGCGTTTTGAAGGATGAAAGATATTGTGCGGTTGATCCTGCCTTCAGGGATTAAAAACGTTTGCATGGGAATGCGTGAAGTTATCCAACTTTCGAGACTGCAACAAAGCCCTTGGTCCTATTTAATGTGGTGTGGTGTGATGCGTGAAATATATTTTTTAAGGATGATAAGAAGGACTCACTCGTATATGCAATACTCATCTACTAATATGCTGAATGCGAAGGTTAGTGTTGTTAATCACTGCAGGATGAAGACCCCCGTGTTGGTCATAAGGGCGGTTTGGCCATGCTTCACCGCGAAACGTCGGACATCGTACAGAACAACGCGCCGTGTAAACTAAAAAAAACACACCACAGAGCTTGGCACGGTCCCATTTTTTTCCACATGCAGCCCCCAACAGTGCCGTACTGAATACGAGCCCGCCTGCCTCCATGCAGCCTCGGAGGCTAAAGCACGGGGACTGTTTGTCTAATGCATCGCTGGTGCTTGTGCAGCTGCGTGCACGCGGATGTCTGTGCGCCCGTGCACACGCGTGCGTGCACGACTGCGCGCGTCGTTCCGCCACCGCAGCAGCGGTGCTGCTTTGACGCCCATTGGTCTCATCGGGCGGCGGGCGATGATTGATGTGAAGGATGCGCGTGCACGCGCGTGCGCGCGCTTATTCAACAGCCGGCCCCCGGGGGGGCGGGGGGGGGCGGTGTGTGGGTGGGGGGTGGAACACTGACATTGACCGGTGACGCTGCCCTACGCGGGCGCTTGATGCACGGCGCCTGCGCCTTGGATCCGCTCAACCTCCGTGCGTTTTTTTTTTGGTCGCGCGATCTCCAACCCCGCGGCCGGCTTCCTCCCGCCGCGCGCCCTCCGAATGCATTCCCAGCTCCTGATAATTCACAGCCTCCGCATCAGGCCGGAAGGCGGTGGGGGCGGCGGCGGCGGCGGCGATGATGATGAGAAACACGTTAAGGCGCCATTCCGCTTGCACAGTTTTTTTCTAAACGTTGATCTCTCGCCGCAGCCTCAACCAGCCCCCCCCCCCCCGCAGCAAACACGTTAGATGGAATGTTCCCAGCGAGGCTTACCGAGCGTTTGCAATTGCCAGCGGTTGATAACAGAGCGTGCCATTGTGCGTTTGCAGGGGTAATATGTTGCTCTCTGCTTAACACAATCGTGGCAATGTAGCAGCGTAAGCCAAAGGGGCTTTGTTTTGTAAATACCAATAACGATAAGAAAAAGCCAATTATTTACTCGGAGAAGCCTCACTGGAACCGCGGTACTTTTTTTCAGAAGGGTCCTTCATTGGGATGTTTGGGCGAGTTTCACGACTGAGGATTTGGCGTCGTGATTGGAGGACCAACGGAGTACCCGGAGAGAACCTAGCACGGATACACAGAGGAGTAATACTCGGCACAACCATTTCCTGGCCACACCATGCAACCCAGCTCCTACAACACCTGGCAAGCCTTGTTAATCTTGCTCAACCATCCAAGTACAATCCAGACGCAACCCCGCTGAGCTTCTGAAATCTGATGATCGACCGCATTTAGGGTCACTTTGGTCACGGGCTTCATGTGGCTTAGCAGGGGTGACGTGAACCCCGTTATATAGAATATATTTCAACAACTCATTTCTTCCACGTGATTCGATGTACGTATCTTGGGCTCAAGAATACGTGTCTCAATGAATTGATGTATTATTACGCCCACAATGCATTTCTTCCCCAAATTACTTAATTTCGACGTGAAGGCCACGTGAGGTTTCTTGACCTTGAAGGCTTTCGGTTTGGCGTTTTAATGGGCTTTCCCAAAGCGTTTGTCGCCATTGGACAAGCAATGGCGGGGGTTCATGTGGCCGGATGTTGCTGCGCTTTAACCCCTAACCACACCACTGTGGTCACATTACCCAGTGACGGAGACTCGTCGAGAAGGAGTGCCACGCAATGACAATTGTTTTTTTGATTATTTTAAAAGACCTTTGTTAAACCACTTCTGTATGGAGGCCTCGCCAATGCCATCTGAGTCACGAGGGTTCTTTGACCATACTTTACCCCCCCCCCCCCCACCGCTGATCAGTGTGGCTTGGTCAAAAGACGGGGCCCCGAAGCGGCTCCATAATTTTAACTCCCACCGCCGATGTTAGCCGTGGCTGGGAATCAAACACGGTCGGTCAGGTTCACGGCGAAGTGCACTAACCGATGCACCATGACTAACACCCTCAAAATCGTATTGTTATGAATACTGGTTGTATAACATGGCCATCCACCTGCGAAGGAGAATGTACCCAGACCTCCTCTTCAATGCTTGTTTGAACTGAACCTGTTTACTTTAGACCTCATTCCTGGCTCATTGAACTCCGTTCTCACGAATGTCATAATAAAGAGAGTCGGGAAGTGAGGTCACGCATCCAGAGACCTTAACTTTGACCCCTTGGACACCCACTTCTCCCCGTTCTCAAACAAGCCAGTGAAATGTTTACTACGTAAGCGCCCGCCACTTGCACGATGAGCTGTGACACGTTGCACGCCTCCATGTAACGCTGAGTCACGGCTGCGAACTCAGGGCTGGACTTTTCCGTGGTTTGAAAACGGGGCTACTACTTTGGCCTCTGAGGCTTCAAATAAAAAAACAAGGACACATCGTGGACAGAAGAACATACCACAACACCACGAGAGGGGAGAACTGCATGCGGACGCAATATCGTGAGTGGTGTACGATTAAGCAAATCGCAAAAAACCACGGAAACTCTTAAAGTCATGGGAACACTTTCATATTTGGCAGGACCACCTTTTAAGCCACGGACAAAAAGAAAGAAAAACACCTCAGTCTCCATCCATAGACCAACGAGTAAGTAGCAGGGCGACGCTCATCTCCATCAACAGCAGCACTGAACCAATCGTGGGAATTCCACATTGCCATGGCAAGTAACGTTCCGTCCGTAGGATGGACACTTTTTAAATTTCCACGAAGTTTTTTTGTTTTGTCTTTAATTCAGCCGAGTTGACTCGCAACCAGGACCTGAGCCTTCCCACCACCGTTTTTCGATTGTCAGCCAAGCGTCCCTGACCACGGCACTGCCCCCTTATGCGTGGCAACCGGGAGCGAAACAAAATGATGGCAATCGCATGGCTTGTGCTGCGGGTAGCGCTCAAGTCGCGCTGCGCGGGGCTGGGAGGCTTCAACGAAGCAGTGGCGGCGGCGGCGGCCTCCGGCATCCGCATTCGGCTTCGATGCCAAATGCGGCCACGGAAACATCTGGCGCCGATGCGT